GTGAATAATAATTTGGAATCCAAAGAACTTTTTAATTATAAAGATGGTTATTTTGTCAAGGTCGAAATAATTTGGAAAGAGTTGAAAATTCTGATTATGGGTGTTTATGGCCCTTTGCAAAATAAAGGAAAATTCACAGTGTCTTGGAACCAGCAGAAGCAGAAAAAAGGAGAAAGTGATCCAGTGCTCCTTCCTAATTTCTGACTTAAATCTCATCCACGAAGTTAAATTGCCAAATGCCAAGATGTTAAAGTACAGACAAATGTAGTCATTCATGAAAATTCTCAATCTTATTTAAGCATGAAAGCACCAAACTACACTGTGTTTCAAGGAGGATTTGCATTTTCCCTCTTGTTCCTTGGGATGTAGAATATCCGTATTTGGACTGGCACTGCAATCACACCAAATTTGATACACAGCAGTGTGCTACTGATGTGTAAGCTATATTTATTTGATTGTTTTAAGTAGAAATCTTCTCAGCCTGGCCCTGAAATTAAGTGGGGAAAAACTATGCATTAGTGTACTAAGCATGTATAACCACTACTACCCTTTTAGAAAAGGCTAGACTGTCCTGTTGTGAACAACATGGCTGGGAAGTAGTGCAGGGATTAGGTTAGCAGAACCTTACCAGAAAACAGACAAAGCCAGTCAGAGTGATCCAAAGCTACAGTCAGGAAGTGGTCCAGAATTTCAATCAGTAAACCACAGACAGATATCAAAAAAGTCAGTCAAGGATAGTCCAAGAACATGGTCAAACAAAATACAGATTCAGGCATAAAGAGGTCAGAGAAAGTGCCAAGCCACCTGGAAACCATGAAAAAGAGCCAGACACAGACATAATTTCTAACTGTCCCTCCAGCCTGGGTCTAAGGCTTTTGTAGATGAGCTGCTTGAGCCTTGCCAAGGGCACAGCCATAGGATGTCTCCAGGAGGAGGGCCTTCCTCTTAAGGATGCCCCATGTTCCTAAGGCAGAACTCATTCTTACAGAGTCCTCCTTTGCAGACAGGTACTTTATTGGATCACTTCCAGCCTTTCTCCTTTTGCTGCTGCACAGCTCTCAGGCTTATGGGATGCCCTGACTAATCATGGGATCACTGAGGAAATGGCTCTCTGCCTTTAAAGGAGGGAATTGTGCTACTCAAAGCTCCAGAATCTATGCAGTGATCTGGCCCTGGAAGCTCTGAGGATACTTCCAGCAAGGACATGAAACATGTGCAGTGCAAGGGATGCCCCCCCAGTAGATTACATAGACACACATGCCCAGAGAATTGGACTTCTATGGTTACTTAAAGGAAAGCACTCTTAAGACAATAATTATAACTGAAATCTCACACTGGAAATTAAAATAAGGCTGCAGTAAAAAAAATCATTACTACAAAAAACTATGTAACATCTCACTCTAGTTAGGTTTCCCAAAGAGTCTTGTGATTCAAATGTGTTGTGACATAGAATGCAAATGGTGTAGTACAGTATATGTGTAGCTTAGAAACCAGCAGTGTAATTCTAAATAGCTAGCATAATAAATAGTTCCACTTATTGAGAGATGTACTTGAGAATTATCAATTAAGGCAATAGGTATGAATCTACTTAATTAAAGAGTCACATACTATTTTTTTTTCTCACAGACCAACTCAAAACATATGGAATACCAATTCACATGGGAGGAAATCGAAGGACTTGGCATCAAAAAAAGTACAGACTGAACTCTATAGGAAAAGCAGTGGACTTCTGGCAGAAATTTAGAAATATAGAAAATAAATTGAAAAAAATAGAGAAAGCTGCCCGGAGGGAGAAAGCTATTGAAGAAGACCTCTGCCTAGAAAGAAAACAAGGCAAGACTATGAAAGGAAGAGAAAAAAAAGGAAGAGAATAAGAAAAGAAGAGAAGGAGAAAGATACAGAAGAAGAGGATGCAGCAGGAGGAGAAGGAATAGAATAAAGAAATTTTGTGGGGTAATTAGGTTGACCAATTTTGAGTTATTCTAAGTGGGGAAGGTCATTTAATCAGTAATTGGATATTTAATCAGTAATTGGATATCTAATCAAAAAAGGGTCTAAAGATGAAAATAATTTATTGGAACGTTAGGGGGCTAAATTCACAATGGAAAAGGAAAAAAGTATTTCCATATATTAATAAATATAAACCAGATATAACATGTATTCAGGAATCACATATAAATATGAGGAATAGGAGATTTAAGTGTCAGGAAGAATTTGGGGAAGGAATATATCTCATCTACATCTAAGAGGAAGAGGGGTGTAAATATTTATGTGAATAATAATTTGGAATCCAAAGAAAATTTTAATTATAAAGAGGGTTATTTTGTCAGGGTCAAAATAATTTGGAAAGAGTTGAAAATTTTTATTGTGGGTGTTTATGGCCCTTTGCAAAATAAAGGAATATTCTACATGGATCCACAGACCAAAATATCGGAAGTTGATTATAAACACTTAATAATAATTGGAGATTTCAATGGAGTACATGAACCAAAATTAGATAGGGTATCACCAAAATCAATTAAAGAAAATCAAGGGAAGCTACCTAAAACCTTTTTTAAATATGATTGAAAATCAGGCATTAGTGGATGTCTGGAGATATTTATACGATTCAAGAAAACAATACACTTTTAGATCAGATAGACATGACTCGATGGCCAGAACAGATTTGACGCTCATTTCAAAAACCATAGCAGGTCATATAAAGGAAATGGAGGTACTACCCAGATTAGGCAATCCAAGAGGATGTTATGATCGATAGTGTCGAAAGCCGCTGAGAGGTCCAGTAGCACCAGCAGGGTCACACTACCCTTGTCGATGCCCAGACAAAGGTCATCAGCCAAGGCAACCATGGCAGTCTCAACTCCAAATCCTGTCCTAAAGCCAGTTTGAAATGGATCTAAATAATCGGTTTCTTCCAAGACAGCTTCGAGTTGAAGAGCAACCGCCCTCTCGATCACTTTGCTCAAAAAAGGTAATAAGGAGACTGGCCTAAGCTGTTCATGTCCAGGAAAGGTTTTTTCATAAGTGGCCTAACTGCTACGTCCTTCAAACAAGATGGAACATGACCTTCCCTAAGGGATGCATTGATGATGTCACTACGGAACATATAATAAGGACATTTGCTAATGACCTGGTAAAAAATTTGGAGGAACTATTAACAAATGCAGATAGATGGTTATATATATTGGACATATTTGGGAAAGCCATGGGATGTAAAAGCAAGACCAAAAAATCAGCTATCATCACAAAGAATATGAATCATAGCGATGATATAGTTCTCCAAAATAAAACAGGAATTGATATAAAGGAGAAAGTGAAATATCTTGGAATAATTATTTCAAAAAACAAAACAAAAACAAATGAACTTTTTGACAATAATTATAGGAAATTGTGGAGGGAGATTAAAAAGGATTTATTGACTTGGAAGAGATTGCATCTTTCTTTATTAGGAAAAATAGCAGCTATGGCAGTCCTACCTAAAATTTTGTTTTTATTTCAAACACTACTGATCAGGATTCTGAATAGAATTATCAAAAATTGGCAAAGTGATGTAACAAAATTTATATGGGGCAGAAAAAAAGTCAGGATTAGATTTAAGGTTATGCAAGATGCGAAAGAGTGGGTTTAGCAGTCCCCAGTCTCAAATTATATTATGAAGCCGCTTGCTTGTCCTGGATCAAATAACGGGTAGATCTTAAAAATCAAAGATTGCTAGAATTAGAGGGAGAGGGCCTAAAGTCTGGGTTCCATGCATACTTAATATATGATAAAAGAAAAATCAAATTACCAGGTAAATAAACATTGTATTAGGAAATCCTTATTATTTATATGGAACAAAATATAAAAGGAGAACTGTTAATGGTTTATTGGGATGGATTTCTCCTCAAGAAGCATTTTATAGAAAATAAATGCTGCAGGAAGAGAACTGGTGTAAATATAAATATCTTATGTGGTTATATTAATATAAAATCACACAAGGAATTGATTGAAAAAGGTTTCAAATTGAGTTGGTTTGAATACTGGCAGCTGTATTAAAGGGCAAAGATAAGATATAAAAAAATTGGGTATGAAAGACAAAAGTTCAGATTTGGAGAATATCTTAAAGGAGATTTTTTAAAAAAAAACAAAAAACAAAAAGTCACGTATTCACAAGGCATTCCACAGCTCAGAAAGATTCACCACCCCATAAATTATTTAATTTGGGCTGAGTAATCTGCCCTACTGAGTATATGTTTCCACACCTGAAGAGATGTTTCCAGTCTTCTGTATGTTCTACATGAGTCAAACGCATAAACCAAGCTAGCTTAAGCTTTCTTTTACTGTTGTTCAAGAATACTACAAAAATTCAGGGCTTCCATTTCTCAGTGTTCTGCCACATTCAATCAAGTTCCTATCACTCCAGCTAGTAGTCTTCAGATAAAGCACTGTTTCTTCTACTTGGAGTAGTGGTTTGAGCATTGGACTATACAACCTGGTCACAGGGCTCCTCCGGGGTGCCATTTTGGATTCCAAAATGGCGCCCCGGAGGAGAGCCCACGGCGG